GACTATTCCGTTTTGACAGCATGAAAAGGCAAGATGCATAAGAGACGCTACTTGAATTCAGTGATAGATAGATAGATAGATAGATAGATAGATAGAGATAGATAGATATGAATAGATTATGAGATAGATATGAAGATAAATGGTTTTATAATTTTTAGACTGAGATAGATAGATAGATAGATAGATAGATAGATAGATAGATATGAATAAATGGTTTAGAAACAGATAGATAGATAGATAAGTCTAGATAGATAAAATGATAGAATATATAACAAATAAATGGTTTTTTTTCAAGCCGCTAAACAGATAGATAGATAGATAGATAGATAGATAGATAGATAGATAGATAGATAGAAATAAATGGTTTTAGAAACAGATAGATAGATAGATAGATAGATAGATAGATATGAATAAATGGTTTTAGAAACAGATAGATAGATAGATAGATAGATAGATAGATAGATAGATAGATAGATAGATAGATAGATAGATAGATAGATAGATAGATAGATAGATAGATAGATAGATAGATAGATTCGTGAGCAATAAAAGAAATGCGCCTATTTCCCACGGACTCTGAAAAGAACACAGAACTATCTACATTCTGAAATCCCCCTTCTGACATCGACAGCAGCCAGCCCCTGAAGAAGAGGTTGTGGGATGAGAGACAAACTAGACAATGAGACGATCTAAACGACTTACCTGTTGGGTGCACAACATTTTCAAACATACCCTCTCCTTTCAGTGTTGAATTTGCCAATAATGAAGTAAAGGCCCGGTGTCCTGTTTTTGACACCGATTACAGCATCAAGGAGCTGCCGATGACGCTGACTTAACAACACACGCCTGAATAAGATCAGATACAACGTGAAATTTTCAGGAATAGGCTGAAGCTATACACCGTTAATGCTAATATACTCCTGCCTTGTACCTTAATAGGATCGTCTTTCGCCTGAGTAGCCACAATAAAATCTTGCCCTTGTTGAAAGGAGACGGTGAGAAGGGAGGCTTTTTATCAGTGATTGTAACTTAACTAGAGAGTGGTCTGTTGATTAATGTACGCGAGGAGAGGTGGGGTTTGAAGGCGCTGTCATTTCTATCGAACGTAGCCTGTCTCTTCTTCTACAAAACATCTACCTTAGTTTCTTGCATTATTGGATGCCCGCGGCTGGAGCGTTCGTTTAAAACTTGACTTTAGTCTCGGCTTGATTGATTTACATCTATTTGGATGGGTTTTCTTTGGTTGGCTGGCTGGCTGGCTGGCTGGTGGAAGTGGGGTTATTGTGTTACAATTTCGGCTGGGACGGTTGCCATCTCACGCATCGGTCTATTTATCTATCTATTTGTCTTTATCTATCAAGGGATAAAAACGAATGAGATGCTTGCTGGCGGGGACATCTAGACGAAGGCAGAGAACTAAACAGATTAAGCCGAATTCAGTGTTACACAAGCAAGGAAATGAGCTATAATCTTTGCAGTGTCTTCTAATTGTCTTATTCTTCGTATATTCGCTATTATGCTGATGTCGTATACCTGATACGAAAAGATACGAAAGCTGCAAATAGCCAGTATTTCTTTTAGATAATTACCCTTAGATAATCACGGATAGATATATACATATATATATATATATATTAAAGACATTTTTATGTTTAACGTTCTTTTTTATAGATACAAGTATTTAAGTAAATGCTCTGTTTATAAAAAACAGTGTTAAATAACATTTACCGGCCTGAATGTCAAGAAATTTTCGAAAAATATTCGTCCTTTGACAGGATTCGAACCTGCATCCTATACGGAACCGTCATTTACGCTGACGTGCCTTAACCGACTCGGCCACAAAGGAGCGTTCGGTAGACAAGGTCGAATTTACTGCTTATACCGAACACTCCTTTGTGGCCGAGTCGGTTAAGGCACGTCAGCGTAAATGACGGTTCCGTATAGGATGCAGGTTCGAATCCTGTCAAAGGACGAATATTTTCCATGAAAATTTCTCGGACATTCAGGCCGGTAAATGTTATTTAATACTGTTTATTATAAACAGAGTATTTGCTTAAATACTTGTATCTATAAAAAAGAACGTTAAACATAAAAATGTCTTTAATAAATAAATTGTCGGACTTTGTCCATTTCTTAATATATATATATTTTTATTTTTGCTCTATCTACATCATTCGGACAGTTCTCATCTTTACTGCCATTTTCACGACGTTTCGGTCGTTGTACGCTCCGGCCCTCGTCAGGGGATATACGTTAGAATTTCGAACCAAATATGGCAATATAGATGAGGACAACAGTCCGAACAATGTATACAGTGTAAACTACCTCATCTCAGAAATATAGACTGATATTTTTTATATAATAATTTTTAGATAATCACCTTTAGGCAATTCTTTTAGATAATTACTTTTACATATTTTTAGATAATTACTTTTACATAATCTTTTTAGATAATCCCGTTTAGATATTTTTTTTCCATAATTGCTTTTACATATTTTTTAGATAATCACTTTTAGATCATTGTTTTAGATAATTACTTTCTTTTAAATAAATTTTGGATAATACCTTTTAGATAATTTTTCTTAGATAATTAATTTTATACAATATTTTTACATAATCTCTTTTAGATAATTATGTTTTGGCAACCACTTTTAGATAAAACTGAAATCTTGGAAATAATTTTTAATCTTTCTATATAATCAGGCTTAGATAATTTTTTCGTCAATTACTTTTACATATTTTTTATATAATCACTTTTAGATCAATTTTTATATAAGTACTTTTACATAAATTATAGATAGTTCTTTTTTGACAATTTTTCTTAGATAACTACTTTTACGTAATCTTTTTAGATAATCACGTTTTGATAATTTTTTTTCGACAATTACTTTTACATAATTTTTTTTCGATAATTAATTTCAAATCATTTTTTAGATAATTGCTTTTACATAAATTTTAGATAATACCTTTTAAATAATTTTTCTTATATAATTAATTTTATATAAAATTTTTAGAAAATCACTTTTCGATAATTATTTTTTAGATAATCACTTTTAGATAATTATTTTTAGATAATCACTTTTCGATAATTAATTTTTAGATAATCGCTTTTAGATAATTATGTTTTAAATAATCACTTTTAAATAATTATTTTTTAGATAATCACTTTTCAATAATTATTTTTTAGATAATCACTTTTCGATAATTATTTTTTAGATAATCACTTTTCAATAATTATTTTTTAGATAATCACTTTTAGATAATTATTTTTCAGATAATCGCTTTTAGATAATTATGTTTTAAATAATCACTTTTAAATAATTATTTTTTAGATAATCACTTTTCAATAATTATTTTTTAGATAATCACTTTTCAGTAATTATTTTTTAGATAATCACTTTTCAGTAATTATTTTTTAGATAATCACTTTTCAGTAATTATTTTTTAGATAATCACTTTTCGATAGTAACTGAAATCTTCGAAATATTTTTTTTATTTTTCTATATTATTAGGTTTAGATCATTTTTAGGTAATTATTTTTACATAAATTTTAGATAATCCCCTTTAGATATTTTTTATTAGATAATCACGTTTATATAATTACTTTGAGATAATAACTGTAATATTGAAAACGAATTATTGTAATTTTTTTAAGAATTCCACCCCAAGCAAAACGGGAAGCAAACTAGCACGCAAAAGGTTACAGAGAGTTGCAGCGAGAGCAAAGATGAGTGATGGAGGAAAGGATGAAGAGAAAGATAGTGGATATATTAAGGCATCTGGAGACGTCGATTGACATTACATTTGAATAGTTGGAGATTATAGCTATCAGGGAAACAAGAAAAGGGGAGGGAGTTCCACAGGCGAGAGGTGTGAGACATGAAGCTATTGAAGTAGAAGAGACGGCTATATTTAACAGTTTCGACAGTGAAAAGATGTGAGCGAGATGCCAGCCTAGTTGAACGTTTAAATTCATGAAGTTTGGGAACCAGCGAAAGCAGCTTATCGGAGCAGTTACCGTGACAGTATTTGTAAAAAAGACAGAGAGAGGCGAAGGCATGTCTGGGAGAGAGCGACTGCAGACGAAATGCCAGATTAGGGCCAATTACATTGCATATCCGTTTTTGGGATTTTATCAAGGACCTTAAGACAAACAGAAGGGATTCCAGACCATATATGGCAGCAATACTCTATGCGAATGGTTGATTTGTAGATTTGAAGGATTGACTCCGGCGAAAAAAAAAATATTTCCAGGAAAGAGAAATCTATAAAATAAGTTCAATTCAAACCAAAATTGCTTAGATAATTTTTTCCCCGCAGAAGACGGTTTACTGAAGGGTGCATAAAATATCTAATATGCACACAAAAATAACAATATGTACAACAATTCATTACACGCTTTTCTGTTTAAGCGTTATATATGAAGTCAATTTGAATTGATTCTGATTCCAGTTCCAGCGATATAGAAATGCCAGGATTTTCTCAATAAAAACTTCTTTAGTATCCTGTCAACACCCGCTTCTTGAGTGTAACTGAAACAGTCAAAAGAATTTGACCAAAATAAAAAAAAATAAAATACAATTTAAAAAAATAACTTTCGGAACTTTATTCATAATTTTAATGCAGATATACGAAAACATAATCTCGGAAATTGAAAAATATATTTAAAAAATAGACAAAGTATATCAACTGAATTTAGAAGTTGCTTGTATATATAGAATGTCCTCAAAAATATACTGACATTTTGACTTCGTTGTCAGTTTGAATGTATTTAAATGTGTTTAATTTCATTTAATATTTCATTTAAACCATTAATCTTCTTTGTAAGTCAACAAACATTAATATTTCTTAATTTTAACCATTAATCTTTACGTCAATAAATTCTGCATTTATTTTTCATTTAAAGAGTGAGTACATTTTGGGAGATGCCCTGTATATATATATATATATATATATATATATATATATATATATATATATATATATATCTTCTTCTTCACATGCTTCTTATTCTCCTCC